CCGTGGGGTCGCCTTCGGTAGTGGGGCAAGCAGGTGTAAAGAACCAATTTCGTGGGAATAGGCATTGCGCAAAATCGTTTCTTCTGCATTAGCATAAGGGTCGGACATATGTGCGCAATGACGAATGCCAGTTTGTCGGGTCATTACTTCGATGGTGATCTCTGGGTCGAGGGAAATGAATGCTGGAGATTCCGATAATCTGCCCGACGTAAATCTGTGTGCTTGATTTTACTCTCTGAAATTAGTTTTCTGAATCTGGGAATCTGTGGATGGTAAATGCTGCTTAGAACCAAATAATCAAATATTCTGATTAAATGCTGACAAAACCTATGTTCTAGAAGAGTAAATGTAAGGTTATGTGAATGAGCCCAAAGTGAGGCCACCCGTGAGGCGGGAGACTACAATCTCAGGGGCCAAGGAAAATGAGGGGCGCCGTTCGTGAGGAAACCAAGATGAGGCTCAGTATAAAATACAAAATAAATCCTAAGGCGTAGCAATAAAAAATCAATAAAACAATAATTGGGAAATATCATAATAAAAGAAAATATACAGTAGATATACCAACAAATAAAAGTCATAAAACATTAAAGGAAGTCATTAAGAAAGCTATAATTATCATAAAAAATACGTAAAACCATCTGCTGTGATTCAGTGATAAAAATACAAAAATTAATAACTCTCTCTCGAGATACAAGAGAAATTAAAATATTCAATATGTAAAAGAAAAAAATAAATAAATAAAACTGAACTTCAGATACAAAAGATTAAAAAAAGTGAAAGATATACTCGTAGCAGATGTTGATGCCCCCCCCCTTATCCGCACATCATATGAACCATTGTAAGATTGATCCGGATGATAAAAGAATTCTGTAGAGGTTCTATTCAGAAACAGATACAAATAGCGCAAATAAACGAAAATACATGTAAAATAGGCCAGCATAAAACAGAAATCAAAATAAAATGTAGAAATCAGGAGAGGAGGGAAGTGGTCCGCCTGTGCTCGACTCGCCCTGTGGATTATGGAAGGATGCTGGGTAGGATAGGGATAGGATGGGGGTAGGAGTGGATAGGGTCAAAGGTAGAAGGTAGGATAAACGGGGGGAAAAGGAATGGGGAAAGGAGGAATAAGCGTAGAAGTAGAGGGAGGCGAAATAGCGAAGGGACAAGAAGAGGGTGCGAATAAGAGGGGTACGAGGGGAAATGCGGCAGGATATAGGATAGGGTAGGGATAGGATGGAGGCAGGATAGGTTAGAAATAAAGATAAAGAGGTAGAACAAGCAGGGAAAAGGAATAAAAGAGGGAGAACCAGCATGGGAGTAGAAGGGAGTGAAAAAACAAGGGGACAAGATGGTGCGAATAAAAGGTGTGGGGGGATAAGTGATGGGTAAGGTCTGTGGGGGTGGGGGTGGAGGTGGAAAACCTCACATAAAGCTAGTAAAAAATGTACTATAGAAAAATAATGATAAGGGGAAAGTATCCCGAGACTTATCATCACACGGTAAAACCAAAATAGTTATTAGAAGCAGATAATCTCCCAAATTTCCGGCAAAATACACTCGAAAATTCCAAAATCAAGTCACGTAGAGGGAGACAAAGTTAGTAGCCTGCAATAAAAATATATAATAATAATAATAATAATAATAATAATAATAATAATAATAAATAAGAAAAATAAGTGCATTGAGGAGTTATGTTCCTAAACTTTGCCTGATTATTTGAAACTAATATTATTTTTGCGAATACTGACAGAA